AAGAATGCATAGAGGCAGCTTGCACTGCTCACAACAGCTTGAAAATTGAAGGATCCCTCATGTACCCCTGGAACTATGACGAGAGCTGGTTAGAACATCCCTTGTGGGGTCACTTAATTGGCTTTACAACAACGAGCTCCACTGTGCATGTCAAACAGCAGCTTCTAGAGCCCTCCGCTTCTGGCTTTGCTTAACTTGTACTGCTTTGTGTTAGCGTGTCAGGTTGAGTATCCTTGTTAAATGGCTGGAATAAATTGGCTAACGGGGAGTACACAGTGCAGCATATTAAATATAGCAACGGGGAGTTTATTTAGCGAGGCTCAGATGTTGGTGCCTAAGGAGCAAAGAATCCCAAACTTTTACCTACTATAATTAAAAGGACATCCCAAAGTAGTCTGATTCACAGCGAGAGTTTTGTGGTTTGGTGGCCCATTGTTAAAGCTCTGTAAGCTTAATATATTTCACAGCGGGGGAAAACTTGCTCTTGATTTGTGTCAGTAAGAGAGAGGATGTCAATTCAGGCCCCGCAGTCATGGGCAAACAAAGAAACAGACAGCCGTTTGTCGCTGGCTCATCTCATTTTCACATGGACATTAAGGAAGAACACGTGCACACAGTCCTGTATGCTAACAGAGCTCTGCTAGAGGAGCAGAAAAGGTCATTCAGTACAAACAGCCATTCACAATTTTCAGTACTTTGGGACCAGAGAGGCAGAATAGCAATTCATAACTGTGGGGTAAGATTGGTTGTGTAAAATATGTAGACTGAAAGGGATTCTGCAGTACAAAAAGCTGTTGGAGCAATGAAGCTCTAGGAATCTAGAACATCACAGCCTTCAGAGCTACTCTGGTCTGGTGGGGGTGGAAGGTGTGCCGTCAGATCACAGCCGACTTAACGGCGACCCAATAGGGTTTTCAAGGCAAGAGATGTTCAGAGGTAGGTAGGTAAAAAAAATATTGCATATGGCCATAGGCAATGTTCCCTCTAAGCTGTAGAACTATGGTGCTGGAGAAGACTCTGCAATTGCTAGCAGAGTGGATATTAATTTGTTCATTGTGTTTCTTTTGCAGGCTTCCAGGAGGACGTCCAGCAGAACTGTCTCAGGAAGGAATGTAAGTTGTGACCTGTGATGACAAAGATTTGGGATAAGATTTGTGTCCAGTACAGTTGGATTGAGGAGCACGACCACCAACAACGTATAAAGTCACCTGTCTGACCACAGTTCTTCCAATAGAGTTTACTAATCCTTGAGTTTACTTTGTTTAACCTTGCTGGGGTCATGTACCAGCGATTTAGAGTTTTAAAAGTATTCAATTTGATGCTGAAGATTCTTGAGGATAGACTAGGCAAGCGCCACATTTCTTCCCAGTTCTCTGGTTGAATCCTATTTTGACAATCAGATTGCCAATGAAGTTGTGATTTTATGGTATGTTGTTTCAGATTGTTGTTTAGGATTTTGTATATTTTTATATCAATCCCTTGTCGTCGCTATTTTGGTTTTTAATCAGAAGTTCATAGGCTGTGTAAGGAGGTGAGGGAGATCATGTAGTAGGTGTTGGACTTGTAGATAGCAGAACCAAGGGA